TTAAAGCCATGAACATCAAGATTATTACACGGGATGTTACCAACAACAAGGTCGAATCCGCCAAATCTACTCATCAATTGCTCCAAACGATCACCATTCAGTTCTTGCACATCTGTTTTCAAAGATATACTAAGACAGTAGAAGGCAACCTTTGCAGCACTGATTCCAGCAAAAAGAAACAAGACATTGATATCACTGGGAAACATGTCTCTATACAGATCCTTGTATGGTTTTTAAGGAAACCTAGAAGCATTTCCACCTCATCAGGTTCAAGTAGAGCAACTTTATTCCTTCCAACCCATACTAGATTCCATTTTTAGCACTCATCAAGAACATACTTCTGGACACTCGAAGGTGGCTCATTGTCATAAGCTTCAAGAGCCTTACAGATCATTTCTGTCAATTTGGCACTTCCTGTACATGTTTATAAACAGTTCAACTTTGTTCTTGAATCCCATGAAAGCCATCATTTCTTTGTCAATGGAAAAACATCAGCACATGGAGGAAGCAGAATAAGAGAAAATCTGTTATTAATTGGCAGAATTATGAATATAACCCTTTTCAGTGTAGTAGCATGGAAATACTTCGAATCTACAAATTCTGGCTCTACATCAAATAAGTGTTGTGATATCTTAGTCCAAACATTAACTGAAAAATGAATTTGCTCAATAGCATCTTCTGGAAGTGTTCTTTGAGTTATCTGATCTGGTTGGACGGAACCAATCATTGAATTTAGAAGATGAATGTGCTCAATAGCATCTTCTGGAAGTGTTCTTTGAGTTATCTGATCTGGTTGGACGGAACCAATCATTGAATTTAGAAGATGAATGTGCTCAATAGCATCTTCTGGAAGTGTTCTTTGAATTATCTGATTTGGTTTGGTAAAACCAATCATTGAATTTAGAAGATGAATGTGCTCAATAGCATCTTCTGGAAGTATTCTTTGAGTTATTTGATCTGGTTTGGTAAAAATTACAGAACCAATCATTGGAATTAAAAGATGAACTGCATGATCGTCTTCATTAAGAAGTTTCTTTTCAAGCTTCTTTTGCTTATTCCTTTCCCAAAAATCATAACCCAGGGCTATTTGAAGTTTCAGCATCTGAGAATCCCATTTTTGTCAAGTATAACAGTTTATTCTCCTCATCAGAATCAGAATTCAAGATTTCTCTGTATTAGAAGAACTATCGATATCTGTGAAATCATCTTGAAAGGTCATTTCATAATCAGATGAGTTGTTATCAGAATCAACATGTCACATGAAGGCAAGCTTTTCAAGAGCCGATACCATTGAGTTTTATTCTCAAGAGGTTTTGTGACATTATATCTACCTCTACATTTGTCAAAGAGAATAGATTCTCTGATTTGAAGAAGAAAGATTTATTGGGTTTCTACAACTGAAGAAATATTCAGTTCACCAATCTGAAATCAAATAACTTAACAATCATTCATCATATTTAGGCATTTGCAAAAATAGGTGCATTTTCATTCATTCTCATCCATGTTGAATTCTGACAGGAATTTCAAAGATTTTAGCGAAGATTTAAATCCATTATTCAATGGATCAATTTTTCCAGTTCGAGTTCATAATGAGAAGAACTCATCTGAAGAAGGAAGAAGAAGTTCATAATGAGAAGAATTTGTTCAACCTTTTTGCTTAAATCTATCACTTGATGGATTATCTTTTCCAGAGAAAGTTCATAATGAGAAGAACTCATCTGAAGAAGGAAGAAGAAATTCATAATGAGAAGAATTTGTTCAACCTTTTGTTTGAATTCATCACTTGATGGATTAACTTTTCCAGAGAAGGTTCATAATGAGAAGAACTCATCTGAAGAAGGAAGAAGAAGTTCATAATGAGAAGAATTTGTTCAACCTTTTACCTGAGTCCATCATTTGATGGATCAACCTTTACAGAGAAAGTTCATAATGAGAAGAACTCATCTGAAGAAGGAAGAAGAAGTTCATAATGAGAAGAATTTGTTCAACCTTTTACCTGAATTCATCAATTGATGGATTATCTTTTCCAGAGAAGTTCATAATAAGAAGAACTCATATGAAGAAGAAAGAAGAAGTTCATAATAAGAAGAACTCATCTGAAGAAGAAAGAAGAAGTTCATAATAAGAAGAATTTGTTCAACTTTTTGCATAATTCTATCACAGAAGGAGATAGATTAGCATCAACCTTTCTAGAGAAAGTTCATAATGAGAAGAACTCATCAAGAGCTTATTCAACCTTTTGAATGACTCTATCACAGAAAGGAGGTCATCATCATCCCCAGCAGAAAGTTCATAATAAGAAGAACTTATCTGGAGAGAGAGAAGAATTTATTCAATATCTCCATTATGATCAAAGTAAAGTCAAATGGATAAAAAATTTTATTATCTTTTCATCTTTGCCCTATTCTTGTTAACACAAGAATGTGCAAAGAGGGGCAGCTGAAGATATTAATTTTTTTATCCATATTATTATTATTAATATTATTATTATTATTATTATTATTATTACTATTATTATTATTATTATTATTATCATTATTATTATTATTAAATATATTAAATACATAATAATAATTACAGACCAATTACAACTGGACCGGCCCAGTTTCAAACCAACCAGAACCGGTCCAGATCCAACCAGAAACCCTAAATATTTGGGTTTCCAGTTAGGGTTTCCTAACCCTAATTTAACCAGCCGCCTCATCTCACAGCCGTTGGATCTGGCAAGATCCAACGGTCCAGATTGCCCCAGATGGAAACCCTAGGGTCTGATACCCTAGGGACACGCGGCCGCCGTTGCTATCTCGCCGCCTCCGCCGTTGCCACGTCCCAACCGAAGACTCCAGAAGATAGAATACCAGCCGTCCACGCTATGGCTACTCGGTGAGTCACCACTGGTAGTCCGGTGACTCACCGAGACCCCATCTTCGGACCGATCCGACGGCCACACCGGTGGTGGCTATAAAAGCCACCACCCCAACCTGAAAAAAAAAAGGGAAACAGAGAGACACAGAGACAGAAAAAAAAAAGAAAGAAAAAGAAACAACAGAAACAGAGAGAGATACAAAAACTACCAACGATCCCAGTCTACAACAACACAGCAAAAACAAAAACAGAAGGAAAAAGAGAGAAGAGAAGCTTACCAAAGAAGCCTTGACCATCGCCGGAAGCACTAAACATCGCCGGAGAACCGAAAATACCGAAGGTATTTTCATAGATTTACTCTGATTAGGAGTCTTTTTGGGGAAACAAAGGTCGGATTCGGTCTTAGGGTGTTTAGATCTACGTTTTAGGTGAATTTGGGGAATTTCCGACCACCGGAGGCGGTGGTCGGCGGCAGAATTCACGGCGGCAGACGGATGCCGGATTCCCTCCGGTGAGGGAATCTAGAGAGAGGCCAGAGAGAATTCTGGCTCTCTCTCTGCTGGAGAGAGAAAAAAAAAGGAAATGAAATGGCTGGCTTCGGGCCAGCCGATTTGGACCATATATAGTCCTTCCCGAACGACGTTGTTTCGGGAAGGACTATGCGCGTAATTATAAAATAGTTAAAACCCGTCCGCAGTCCTCCGAACTTGTAAACTTTACATTTTAGTCACTAAATTAAATTTATAATATTTTTAATTCAGTCTTCGAATTTTAATTTCTTTTATTTTAGTCCTTCATATTAAAATAATATATTTAGGATAAATTATAGATTTAATCCCTTAATTTTAATAAATAATATTTTAATCCCTAGTTTATATTTTTAATTTATTTGATTCTAATATCCGAATTTTAGATAATTTTATTTTAGTCACCAAATAAATAAAATAAGGAAATAACATATTAAATCCCTATAATTTTGATTAATTATGAATTAGATTTTTAATTTTATTTTATTATAATTTAGTCAGTTATTTATATGTTTTCATTTATTTTATTGTTTTTAAATATATTGTTTTAGTAGTATTTGTATTTTTTATATTGTTAAATATTTTATATTCAAATATATAATAAATAGTAATTTTTAAATATTTATTTTTAATATCGAAGAAAAGGACAGTCTTAATACAACTGGATGTCCTATTCTGATATTTTAAAATTAAAAAGTAAACAATATTATTTAAATTAATATTTATCAATATCAAAGAAAAGAGCTGTCTTAAGGCACCTAGAAGTTCTTTTCGGATATTTTTAAATAAATAAATATTTTTTTATATAATTTTGAAATAATAGAATTATAAATTAAATATATTTTTGAATTTTTAAAATTTTAATAATAGAGACAATTTATAATTAAAAAGTACCAATTTTGGGCGTTGTAGGGGTGTTAATCCTTCCCTAAACGTAACCGACCACGAATCCCTTTTTATTATTAAAAAGAATGAATTTTTGGTTATAAACGCATATCAGTTTATTTTTTTAATTGGAGTTTTATTAAAACTCTTTTAAAAAAATAATTTTTAGGTATTCGACCTACCTGACCCAAAAGGCCGATGGCGACTCCCAAATTATTTTCAAAACCATTTATTCACATCATTTTTCCCGCCAAACAAATAAATTCGTGCCCAGACGAAAACCGGTTACGACAGCTCCACCATCACCACAAATTTAACAAGAACTTCACCTGCTAAGTTAGTAAAAGTATGACCTATTAAATGGGTTTCTTAATAGACCTTTATTCTTTTAATGTAAATCGATTTAAGCTTTCTTAATGTTTAATTAAACTTATGATTATTTTGATATTATAATTATATTTAAAATAATATAAAAAATTAGATGACGTGTTTGGCATCGCTAAATCTGGTAATGATTATGGCAAGCACCAAGCAACCTGTTATGGGGCAGTGAGAATTCTCGTTTTTCTTTCTTTTCCTCGTGTTTTCTATCTTCTAGTTTGATTAATATCCACATGTGCATGCTTAGATGTCGATATGAATGCTGACTATGCATGTTAACATGGAGTGTAAATACATGACATGATATACAAAACATGAACATGTGAATTCATGTACATTATACCTTAATTATGTATCTTCCTAACTCGCAACAGTAAATCACATGTAAAGCTAGTACAACCATAAATATTGAAAAATAAAAGGGAAAACAAATTTGCAGGACAAAAACACGTATACATCGTCATCGTCATCCCCATACACACAAGATTTTATCTGAATTACTAATGCTACCATTAGAAAACAATAGGAAAATGTTGATTGGAAAACTTCCAAAAGTCCTCCAATCTGGCTTGTCAAATCCTGTTTGTCAAATCCTGTCTTCCAGCTTTGTTTCGGGCCCTTGTGTTTCCAATGGAACCTCTCAATCATGTTGAAAATGCCTCTGATTCTCGGAAAATGATGCATAGATGTCAATGATGAATTAAGTAAACAAGAGTGAAATATGAATGTACTTTCATTCGACTTTCCAGGCATAGAGAAACAAGCAGAACCTTGAGGAACCCAATATTGTATTATCAAAATCTCCTGATGCAGAATCGGGTTCCTGATTTGATGGAGGGGATGATGGAATGAAAAGGCCGTGTCTCGGACCCGACCCGAAGAGCCAATCATGATCATCCCAGAAAACTTGTAATCCATTTTTGCCAACATTAATGGACTCATTACCTCTAAATTTCCACTGCAGATGCTTAACATGAACTGCTAGTTTCCCGTCGACTCGTATTTCCAGTACCGGATCGATCCCGTCGGAGTTGCATTCGACCGAGATATCCTGAACGGTTCCTTTGTCGCTAAACTTAACCCTCGTGAACTTCCTCTTGCCAAATATATGTTCCCTCCTGGAGATTAATATTGGGTCACTAAGAGATGGCCTACAACCTGTCTTTCTATAAGCATCTTTCTTTTGATCACCCAAGAGTAGAACGACCTCGTCTTCGCAGACGATGGCGACATAGTAATCCGATCGCGGCTCTGTCTCACCATTGAACTTGGCTGCCTTGAGGTCCCAAACCACATCGACGGTCGTACCGTCCACGATGAAATGTTTGGAGCCTTGTTTTCTCCGGAAATACCATGGCTTGAGCTCAACTTTGCACCTGTAATGCTCATCCCCATCCGGTCCATGAACCGAGACAGAAAGGCCGCGAAGTAAAAGGTTCCTACACCATGTGACGGTAATCAAGCGACACTGGCCGGCAATCTTCGTTCGATACACTGACTTAAAAACTCTCTGCCCCAATCTGCCTACACTGGTCGGCTCATCAGGTTGCATCTGGTGATATCTAGACGAAGAGCAAGCCGGAGTTCCTATTGGATCGTGCATGATTTAATGCTGTAATCAAAGAAAACTAGCTGGTTGAGATATTAGAGGCAGAGGATTAATTTATGATTGTCAACTTGTAAGGAAGAGGGGAAAGAAGAGAGAACAGAGAAATATATGTTATATAAGCAATACAGGATAAGTACTTTTAAGAAGTGTATGCCCCCCCCCTTTTCTTATTGTTCTGAACAAACACACCTTTTTTCAAAGAAACTCGGATGAACCTCGTGGCTATATATTGTTACTTCTAATGATTGCCCTCATGGCTGCCCATATTTCCCCACTCCAAGGTCAGGCCAACTTCAACTGGAAAAGTAATGAAATATTTTCGTAAACTATTCAAATACAATCATTGTGATGAGAAATCAATGTTCATATTGTGTATAGAAGGGAGTGGGATAGAATCTGACTGGTAATGGGATGTGTTATTGCTCACAAATTTCCAGGCTGGGGGTCAATGGGTACGCAGATGTCCATGTGTTTGGCTATATCTGCTGCTACACAGAAGACTGGCTATTGGTTATGAGTGGCGACACCATCTACTCGCCAGGTGAATGCAAGCCAGCAGAAAATGGTCTCTTCGTCTTCAAACTGGGGTTTGCCATTACTTCCCTTTTTCTGCAAGCATGTAAATAGTTGAATTCCATACTATATAACATCTGCTCATTACTTCTCTTATCTTTAATAACCAAACAACACATTCCTCCCGTTATTACAACTATTCACAACTCAACTATCTTCTCATTCCTTTATGTTATTATAGGCTATCAAAATTAAAATAATTGAAGAGTTTTTATATTTTAATAATATAATTTTTGTTCATTGAGCATTATTCTTCTTTTATATTTAAAATTTAAATAATTACGTCTAAAAAATAAAAGAATATAAACATTCAATATAAAGTGTTCGAAACTCATTAAACACATTAAATTATATTCGTCTTATATTAATAAAAATAATAATAATACAATCTCCGAAGCGTACAAGACCAATATTATATGGGAATGCGAGGAACAACACTGAAACGTCGTCGTTTTAAACAGATAATACCTCATCATTTGATTTTGTTGTTATCCACACTAGGTGGTACTCGTTCACTTCCACTACAATGCTTCTCTCTGCAATAACTCCACAATTGCACCTCTCCCCGCCCAACTCCTCCACCAATCAGACCCTTATACGTGCCCCCCTCCTCCCAAACCCCTGCACCTCAGCTCCACCTCCCTCCGCTACATCTCCGCCCCCACCCTCCCCGACAACGATGAATCCCAACCCACCCTCGTCCCCTCCGCCTCCGCCTCCGCCGTCTCAACCGCCATCCGCAGAGCCTCCACCTCTCCCGTCAACTTCACTCACCGAATCGAGAAAAAGACCACCGCAACCACGAATTAATCATGCCTACCCCCGACTTCCAGCGCCTATGCCTCGAACAACTCGACCTCTTTCGCCGAATCGTCGACCCCGACGCCGTTCTCTCCGTTTAAGTCAGGCCGGCCGGTAGCTACGTCATGGACCAGCTAGAGTTACGTCGAGTCACTTCGTATGCGGGTGTAAAAGCCGCCGACATTGTGTTTTTAGTCGGGAATTTCACTGTCTCCGCAGGACTGCCTGCCGCTGAAGCCGCGCTTTCGGGTCAACAGATGGAAGTTGTGGGGGAGCATAGAGCGGTGGTGTTCCCTATGGGGAAGCAACCGTTCGTGGTGGGGTTCTTGGTGGCGGAGCTCCCGGAGATGGATAAGGTGCTGCAGGGGACTGAAAGCGAGGACATGGTTCATTTCCCGACTCCACAGGAAGCTTATGCGTTGTCTTCTCCTTCTCCAGGACCGGGTATGAAAAAGAGGTGGGAAACTCAGTCCCTTGAGAACGAAACTGTGAGGCAAAATGACATATTTACTGTCGACCAGTGATCGAACGCAATCAATATATCTCGTACTTTAGCAGTGGCTTATGTTATGGATCAGGTTAATCACTCGCGGCATATTTGTCTCTTATCTTTCATACTATCAATAATGTATAATAATGCTCTTCTTTCGTACCAATATTCTCCCTTGCTCCGCCATTCCTTGTCCTCTAGTTTTAGAAAGAATGGCGGTTTTTTGCATTAAGAAGCTCATCTCTCTTCATCTGCACTCAGGAGTCGTCGATGAATGTGAAATATTCCACAAACATCATAGTCTCATAGATGTTGGCTGATTTATTCTTTCCTATGTCATTTGGTTGAGGATTCAAGTGACTGCAACTTTTATGTTTCGAAGTCTGGTTTTACTATTGTTGCTTTTTTGTTGGGAAAGATGTATTCTTCTTTTGGTTTTTTAGGAGTGATTATACACCAAGGCAAAAATTTTAATGGAATAGTGTTTTTACGGAATTTGTTTGTAGCAAAATTCTTAGCCTAATTTAGTATTCATTAATTGTTTTCAATGATCGTTGTTTTCTCATTTTGTCAATTTTTTTGGTTATACGTCTAGAACGTCTCTCAACATTTTGCAACTTTTGGTGCATTCCAAGCTATGTAGAAGATTGACATTAACCGTATTTCTTCCACAGAAAGCTATTCTACTACAGCAATCAACATGGCAAAACAATGTCAGAATGGGTGCTCTTGTTGAGCAAGTAAACTGTGTTTCCTGCTGTAGAATGTAGATACATTTTAATTTTTTTTTCTTTTGTTCAAGTTATCATAATTTTTCATCGAACTTTGAAATTTTCTTACATATTCGCGGGCCTCTTTCTAGCATACGGACTTTGAGTAAAATGCTATCCACTCATTTCAAAGAAAATGAGGTTATTTCTTAAACTATCTGAAAAAATGTTTGTCCTACATTTCAGTTTTAAGGGTTTCATGCTACTAATCTTTTGACTCTCATATATTTAATTAACAAAAGCATATTCTTGCAGATTTCTCACGACATTGTTGAAGACATATTGGTGCAAGGTAACCGTATCAAGGACACCCTTCAAGAACTACAAGATGCGGTTCACTTGACAAAGGTAATTATACTCAGATCATATGTATATATACACACATGCAGACTGTCATTGTTTTCTTTTTCTTTTTATTTAAATTTGAAGATTGAAAATTATCTTTGATTTTGTTTGATGTGATACAGTGGTTCTCTGCTACGTCTTTAGGTTTCCCATCTAGTTTCATTCTTGGTATTAAAAGTTGCCTTTTTCTACTCATCTTCACAGTTGTCAATTTGGAACTACAAGCCTGTTATCAAACTTCTCATGGATTTGACTTCTGCAATATATTATTTTTATATGAAGAATGCTACATTTGCACTTGTATTAAGTATTAACTTTCCCATCTGACTTTTCTTTAGGCTAATATAATGTTCTACAATGAAGAATCTTTGAAAAAGATGCGTAATTCAACTCATTCCCAACCCGAGTCGCTGATATCTCAACTATCAGACGATTTCTCCCGAGATAGTTCCAATAGTAGTTCAGAAACCTCTTGTTTACTACCATCTCTAAGTATAACAAGCAAGGATCTCGATATGCCAATGCCACCACTAGCTCTTGCTCCATTACAAGAGGACGGGATCAGGTATGCAATGTCCTTCGAGAAATTACATGAGTCCATCACCTCAGAAAAAGGAAAACTAGAACGGTGCTTAATTATATCAATTACGTTCCAGTTGTAAGACACCTCATTCACTGTTGAAATTTAATTTTAGAAACCATGTAGAAAATTGTTTATGATGCTAATTATTGGAGACTATTGAGATTATAGCCTGAACTTTACTGTAGCCTATGTTGTAGTCTAAAGCTGAATATAGGCTAAACTGTTTATCTTTCCTTTAAATAGCCTTGAGAGTAGATCACTTGGTTGTGTTTCAGTTGAGTGCAATCCGGCCCCATCCCTTTTTGGACCCGCAATATATTTATACTGTTGATTTCATTTAGCAGTATTTTTATTATTATTTTCATTATACTTGTTCTTTTTTGTCAGGAAGTCCTGCAATATTTAGTTGATGTTGTGAAACCTCTCGCTTGTCAGCAGCAACGCATTGTGGAATTAAGTGAACTTTCACAGCCTTTGCAAGTGGCTATAGAAGAACCTGCTTTGCGGCAAGCCTTGAGCAATTTGATAGAGGGTGCATTATTACGTACCCAGGTTGAAATTGTTTCTAACAGTGCACCAGCAGGTGGTGCTTTACTGGTAATAGATGATGACGGACCAGATATGCACTACATGGTATTTTTGGAAATTCTTTTCCTCTGTGATAGCCTTTGTTGCCATCACTATATCTTTTCCGTTGCTAGTTACCCCATCAATACATCTATTCGTTCATTAATGCCTTAGTGTCACTCCAGTTATGTATGAAATGCAAAGTTTGCTAAATGATTTAGGCAAATAATCGACGGTAAGCCTTTTTCTATTATCTCAATATGAGAACAACAGCTATCTAAAGTTTGCTAATTGATTTTCGGAGTAATAGGTTGAGGGGATTTTTTTTCTATAGTAGGGAAACTAAAAGCTTGAAACAGAAATAAATAGGTTTTGCGACCTTAAACCAAACTTCAATTCTTTTTTCCTTATACCCTTCAACGTTTAGATTTAATTAAATTTAGTTTGCAACTTCTGAGAAATATTTTCTTGTTTCCTTAGTACCTTCTGTAGTTCGTGCACCTTCCTTGCTCTTTGGATTATTTATAAGTGGGATTCATGCAACTTATCATAGATTGAGTTTATTTGTTGCCTTATTTCGGATGATGTCATATGTTATATAGTTTCTTGTGACTGCATGAAGATGCCTTTGTGAAATCTGCAAGGTTTATGAGAAGATATTTTGATATGTCCGATAGCATTTATTTTACTTGGTTTTGTGCTTTATCGCATGCTCACCCCAAATGAATTGTTCCGCTGTTATATGTATTTGCAGACACAGATGCATTCCCTCGCACCATTTGGTGCCGAACTCTTCTCTGAAAACACTATTGAAGACAACATGACATGGAATTTTGTCACCGGGCTGACTGTAGCTCGTGAAATA